GTCCCCTAACCGTTTTGATGAAGTATCTTTTATCAAACTAAGCATTGTTATTGTAGCCTTAGCTTAAGCCACACATTTGTTCCTTGGTAACCACATTCATTTCAGTACACATGGTTTTTAACTAATCTGGTCGTTAAGTCTGACGTCATTAGTTGTGTCTGAGCGCAAACTCCGCTGCAGGTCCCAAAGTCAAACGATCACTGCAGCATTACTGAGAGTTGAAAAACTGTCTAAATTCTTTTATCTGTAATAAAATGATCAGCGTTCTGCTCTACCAGGTGTAACAATTAAGTTTAACATCCAGGCATCCATGAAAGCAGAATTTATTACATTTAACAGAGTTAGAAGTTAGCAGGAAGTTAGCGCGCTAGTTTCCATCTAAATATAATATAGCCTGTCCTGACTGAGAGATTTCTTAAACAAATTAAGACGTACAGCTCTGCTATCACTTCCGACATAAATGAAGACAGGAAACTAAACAGCAGTGATGTTTGTAAGGTTACTGAAGTTGGACTAGCTGGTATATAATGATGTGCTACATGGTAGCTACACAGATACGTTAGCATGAGATTAGCATAGTGAAGCTGGAGGATGAACACTAACTTTTTTCCACTCGATAGAAGTTAACGTGAGGGTTTTCGATGGTTAGGGACAAACGCAATCACATAGCAGGAAGGTGTAAACAGACCAAACTTCTTTCAGGAGAACAAGTGAGATAATCCATCCACAATATAAGGTTAGTCACTAATATACTGCTGCATGGGCTGGAGTTACATCGTGAGGGTTTAAAAACTGAGCTTTAAAACGAATAGTGGTCATAAAAACCACGACAGGCCGAGAGTTATTGATCACTTTTTTTAAAGATTAAATAGAACAAGATACAAAGCATTAAAACATGTTAAAAACACAAAGCCTTACTAAATGCAGGGTAGTTTGGGCCCGGAAGCAGGATTCATCACGTCATCACTTAAAGACTGGATAGATCTTTGGCGCAAAAATGCTATTTCATGCCTGTCAAACTCCAGAAATTTTTATAGATTCAACTAAAGAAATTGGAGCAAATTACAGCTTTTTGCAGCAGGTAACAAAGTGTCTACAGATACATTTTCAAGTTCTTTGTCAAGTTGTCCACCAGTGATCTGTAAGACAACATGTCACACAGCTGATAAATGTCCGATCAGAGCACAAGAACAAATAACTGCTTTCTTTACTGTTTATTACTGCTGTGGGGCATCATAACAAATGAGTTTTATT